AACCAACAAATTTTTGTTTATATAAAATTGTCTTCCTGAATGTCGTAGAAAAATTTCTTTATATCGTAAAGAAGAAATGTCGAATATGGCAAAAAAAAGGTTCTTTATATTTGTAAAGAAATGGCGAATATCGTAAAGAATTTCTTTCTTATTTTACTTGATGATATTAAAATTTAAATTTAAGTTTTCTTTAATTGTTGAAACATAAACGTAAATTATTTTTAATGGTACGAAATTTAAAATATCGTCTTTTTTATTTTTGTGAAAAATTCACAGATTTCTTTTTTTGGTTGTAAAATTTCAGGCCTCGGACTAAATTTCAGGCTTCGTTATAGTATTTACTACTTTGTTCAATTATTTCCCAAAATTCTAAGACGTTTATTTACAAGAATTCAATTACTTTTACAAATAATAAAATTCTTTGTTGTAATTCAATTATTTACAATTTAATTTTAATAACATTTTTCCTACGAATTCTTTTTTGTTTAATTTTAATAAACTTGTAAAAATTCAATTATTTAAGAATTTTTTTTTAAATTCTTCCCAAAAATTTAATTTGTTAATAATAAAATTTTTTGCTGGAATTTAATTATTTTCAATAGAATTTTAATAAAATTTACCAAAAAATTCCTTTTTTTTGTTAATTTTAATAAATTTATGAGAATTCAATTATTTTCATAATTGTTTCATAATTGTTTTCATAATAGAATTATTTGCAAAAATTCAATTATTTTAAAAAAATTTTTATAAGATTCTTAGCAAATATTCAATTGTTGAACTGAATTTTTAAAATTTTTATATTCTTTTCAATTTTTTTCATAGGAATGCAATTATTTTAAATACAATTTTTTAAGAACCAAATAATACAATTATTTAAAATATATTAAATAAACATCTTCGAAAGAAATTGATAATTTTCAAAAATTTGGATAAAATTTAATTATAAGAATTAAATTATTTTCAAAAATTCTGATAAAATTTATTCATAAGAATTCAATACAATTTTAATTAAATTCCTTGAAAGAATTAATTTTTTTTCAAAAATTTTAATAAAGTTCTTCGAAAAATTTAATTATTTTCAATATTTTGAAAAAAATTGTTTAAAAGAATTTAATTATTTTCAATACAATTTTAATTCTTCGTAGATATTCAATTCTTTTCTAAAAATTTTTAATACAATATTATTTGCAAGAATTCAATTATTTTTAAAAGTAATGAAATTTTTCTAAAAAATCCAATTGTTAAAAATTTTTTTAATAAAATTCGTTGTAAGAATTTAATTATTTTCACAAATAATACAAATATTTGCAGGATTTTAATTATTTTAAATAGAATTTGAAATTAAATTCTCGAAAAATGTAATTATTTAAAAAAATATTTTTCGTTAAAATTCGTCAAAAGGAATCAATTAATATTTTTAAAAATTTTTGAGAAAATTTGTTTATAAGAATTAAATTATTTTCATAAGTAGTAAGATTCATACCAAGATTTCAATTTTTAATAATTTTAATTTGTCCCAAGAATTCAATTATTTTTACTTATAAAAAATTTGTTAAGGTATTGAATTATTTAAAAAATAAAAAGAATTACATTTATAATTTTGTCGCTTGAGTCAGAGGCCTGTAAATTTATTATGCAAAATTTTGAAAAAATGAGTAAATTTTTGATTCGTCGATTTCTATAAAATAGAATTTATATTAAATCAAATTTTCCTGTCGAGAAGTTTTATTTCAATAAATTTCTATTTGGTCGTGATAAATGATGTATTTTTTTTATTAATAAAATATTATTTGTTATTAATAATAGTAATTTAATAAAATAGCATAAAATATTTAAAACATAAAATAAATAAAAAAAAAATAATAATATTAAATAATAATGGTTAAAATTTTCATTTAATTGAATTTTTGACTAAATAGAACTTTAGATAAAAATTCTGTTTCAATTAAAAAATGGAAAAAAAATTAATGTTTTAATCAAAATTCTACTTTATAGAACTTAAATTTTCTTTTCTGTAAATTTTTCTGAATACCAATGAAAATATCAGTGATGAGATTTTAACAGTACTTAAGAATTAGTTGAAATTATTTATAAGTAAATTATTCCTTTTTTGTGGATTGATATTTCTTTCTTTTTTATGTTTTTATTTTAAGGTTTTTTTTGCTTGTTTTTCAAAGAGACGATTTTTTAAATAAAAATAATATTTGATTCTCGGTTTTTCGGGTTTGGCCATTTTTTTCTCGAGATTCAATTTTTTTTTTTTTTTTAATGCGAATTATTAAAAAAAAAGAAAGTATTATTATCACAAAAAGCAGAGGAGAGGGAAAAATAGAAGAGGGCCACCTCTCACTGCAGATCTCATTTATAATGCTAAATACGAAACAGTTTTCCCCGAATAACAACCGCAGAGAGTCCAAATATTTCTATACTTTTTGTTTCCGTGTTTCTTCCTCATTCTGTTGAAAGAATTTTACCCTGTGATTTTAGCGTCGCTAAATATTACTTTGATAATAAAAAAAAAAATTATTGTTCATTTTCGCTACTGAGTAAATTACGCGAAATTTCGTTTCATTACGAAAAATTTATTTTCTATTGAAAATAGAAAATAAAATTAAATATAGAAATAAAATTAAATTAAATTCGAAATTTTAAATTAGAATTTAAAATATTTTTTTGTAAATCAAAATTTTAGAGAAGCATATTTCCTGATAATAGCGCAGCAAATTTAATTCAAAGGAGAAAAGTAACAAAATTTGTAATAGAAATTACATTTTTTGTTTCTTTTTTCCAAACAGTAAAAATCGACAGTTTTCAAAAATATTAAATATGATTTTCAAATTTTTAGAATTTAATTAATTTTGTTAATTTTATTAATTATTAATTGCCTAATTATTCTAATTTTTATGGTTTATTATCTTTTTTTTTTAATTTTTGTCATTTTTGATTGAAAGGGAAATTTTCTTTTTTCTATTAAAAAAAAATAAAAATAAATATATAATTGTACGTGTGTCGAGAATCAAAGAGATGGAAAAATACGTAATTCGTTAGTAAGGAAGTGTTAATCATGACAGTTCCTTTTTTCCTTTTTGGAAAGCAGGAACTAGTCTTGCTCTTTTCTGTAATGTAATCGAAAAGAAAAAAAATTGCCCAAGGGAATAATCCCGTATGGCGAAAGTGCATTGACTTAAAAATAACTCCCGCTGCGCTAATTTCGGATCCAAAGCAAGATAACTTCTCCTCAGCCACTCCAAAAGAGCTTTAGTAGTTATCCCGGAGAAGTCTTTCTGCGAGAAATATGCTTTTGCTTATTCTAAACTCTACTCCAAAATTAGAAACTGAATTTTCCATTTTTTATTTTTCAAATTTCAATTTTTTTTCTTTTTTTCTTGAAAAAGCCAATAAACTTTTATTTATTAGCAGAAATATCGGGGATCACAGTGAATATGTTTTTGCTTTTCTAAACTCAACTCCAAATTAGAAAATTAAATTTCAATTTTTTATTTTTCTAAATTCTACCAATTGTTATTTTTTTTTTTTTTGAAGCAACCAATAAACTTTTCTTTATTGATAGAAATTTTAAATTCAATTTAATTTTTTACATTAAATAAACAAAATCTTTCTTTTTTTAAATTTTTGATAATTTTTAGAAAATATGTTTTTCTAATTAAATTAAAAAAATTTCTTAACGACACTAAGAAATTAAATAATTTCAAGTACAAAATTTGTAAACAATGATGAAAATTCTTAGGAAAATTTAAATTATTTTCTAAAATAATAAAATTTTTTGCAAAAAATAATTAATTTTTATAAAATACTTATCAGAAATTAAATTATTTTTTATGCAAAAAATTTCTCGAAAGAATTCGAGAAATTAAACAAAAACGAATTATTTAACGAAATTATTACAAAATTCATCAAAAAAGAATTCAATTTTTTTTTTCCTTTTTGATTCATTTTTTTGTAGAAATTTCAATTATTTTTAATACAATTCTTAGTAGAATTCTAATTATTTTTAACATAATTTCAATAAAATTTTTCGCTGGAATTTAATTATTTTCATAAAAAGTGAAATTCCTTGCAAAAATCCATTAATTTTTATAAATAATAAAATTCTTTGAAAAAGTTCAATTTAATTGTCTGTATATTCAATTCTTGATATTTTTATAAATAATAAAAAACTTCTTAGAAATTTCAATTATTTTTAATATACAATTCTTGGTGGAATTTTAATTATTCTTAACATAATTTCAATAAAATTTTTCGCTGGAATTCAATTATTTTCATAAAAAATGAAATTCTTGGTAAGAATTCAATTATTTTGATAAGTAATAAAAATCTTTACAGAAAATCAATTATTTTTAATAAAATTTACCAAAAATTCGGTTTTTTTCCTATTTTTAATAAATTCATGCAAAAAAAATTTCTCATAAAAAATTCTTTGCTGGAATTAAATTAAATTCAGTTCAATTTTCCAATTCAATTTTAGTAAAATTTTTTCAAAGAGTTCAATTATTTTCATAAATATTAAAAGTCTTTGCAGGAATTCAATTATTTTTAATAGAATTTTAATAAAATTTCTCAAAAAATTCATTTTTTCGTGAATTTTAGCAAATTTATGAGAATTCAATTATTTTCATATAATTGAATTCTTTGCTGGAATTCAATTGTTTTTATAAATAATACAATTGTTTTTTAGCATTTCAATTATTTAAAAAATTTTTTAGCAAAATTCTTCCTGAAAATTTAAGTCGTAAATAATAAAATTCTTTACAGGAATTCAGTTATTTTTCAGCATTAAAAATGTGCAATGTAATTTTATACAAAATTTTTAATCTCAATGAAATATTAAGAACATTAATTCTTTTGAACTAACAAAATTTTATAAATGTAAAGTAAAACAATTTTAACGGTAAACTAAAACTTTTTGAACGTTCAAGTAAAACGATTTTAACGGTAAACACAACATTATTATTTATTAAATAATGTTTTTAATTAATCAATTAATTATGATATTCGTCATCAGTTTTCCAAAAATCCCAAATTTTAATCTTTCCATCATTAGCAGACGATAATATTTTGTGATCATCCATTTTGATTTTTAATATTAATCCATTACTTGCGTTCAACGTTCGAAAACACAATTCTCTTGGATTAGACGTAGGATCGAGACAAGCTACCATATCCCAAATTTTTATTTTTTCATTTTTTGATCCGCTTATTATGTACTTTTCGTTGAAAGTTATACTTCTGACCATTTCATAATGGTCTTTTAACTCTTTGAGGCAACAAAGCGTGTCTACTTTCCATATTCGAATAGTTTGATCAGCGCTGCCGCTAACAATTATATTATTTTCATATTTTAAGCAGGTAATACCTCGAATATGTCCTGTTAGAGTGGAATGAATCCTAAATGTGGACCTATTCCACAATTTTATTGTTGTGTCAGTGCTGCCTGACGCAATATATTTTTCATTTAAATCGACAACATTTACTGAATTTTCATGTCTCAAAGAAATTTGCCTATCGAATATTTTTGGAGAAATAATTGTCCATACTGCAAGTGAACAATCCTTACTGGCCGTTATTAATGTATTATCTTTTAAAGCTATGTCCATTACATTATCAGTGTGATGCCTTAGGATTTGTATTATTTCACCATCTTCTGTATTCCGTACAATAATTTGCTTATCACACGAAGAGGAAATGAGATAATTTTGATTATAAAATTTCAATCCCAATATTGCAGCACTGTGGCCGCCCTACAGGATTTTCGTAATTGCTTTACTTTCGATATTCCACACTCTAATTTTTACCATCATTGTGTCCGGAAAATATTTAATTATTATTGAACGTGCGATTGCATAAATTACTTTGGCCTTTTTCACTTCTGTTTCATATTGAGTGACACAAATTTCTTTGTTTCTCCAATTATCATCAATTTCTTTTGCAATTGATGAAATAGAATTAAACATATTTTGGTAAAAATTATTTTCGTCACTTCGAAAATCAATTTCTTTTCCTAAATGTTTGTTGAACTCCATTTTTTTAATAACTGTTCGCCACAAAGAATTATTTTCAGCCTTCTTTTTCTATCAATTTTTTCCACAATCTTTCAGTGGATATGACTTTGTACCATTCGGTATTTACATATTGTACGTTGTTGAGTAAGGGGGCATCGAAATTTTTAAAAATCTTTGCTACGATGCAACCTTGTCCGCGTTTTGAAAGCAATGATATAATATCTGCTGATCGATCCCTCTCAAGTTGGTAGTCCGCATATTTTTTAACTTTCTTAAGATCTTCATCATTCATCATTCACCATGAAAGTGGAAATCTTTTCTAAACGTTGCCAAAAAAACTGCAAAAATCCCACCTCCAGGTAAAAATCAAAATTTGTTCCATAATAAAAATGTAGAAAATAACGTAATAGGAAAAGGGAACCGGATATTGATAAATTGCTCCACACGCTGTCAGGATATGAATTCTATGTGAATTTCTGTTCACCATGAAAGTGGAAATCAAATTTGGAAAAAAATCTGCAGCTCGATGTGAACGGTGGACGTCGAAGGGCAGTATTTATAAAACAAGATGGCGACCAGCCAGTCCTACGTACCCAAATTTGGAAAAAAAACTGCAGCTCGATGTGAACGTTGGACGCAGGAAGTTGGCATTTCTCAAAAAAGTTGGCTAGCAGACAGTACTACGAACCCAAATTCGAAGAGAAATCTTCAGCGGAAAGGCGAATTCAGTTATTTTCGTAAATAATAAAATTCTTTGTTGTAATTCAATTATTTTCAATAGGATTTCAATTATATCAATTCAATTTTACTGAAAGTTCTTCAAACATTTTTTTTTAAATTTTAATAAATTAGTTAAAATTCAATTATTTTTACAAATAATAAAATTCGTTTTTAAAATTCAATTATTTCCAGTAGAATTTTAATAAAATTTATCAAAAAATTCTTTTTTTGTTAATTTTAATAAATTCATGAGAATCCAATTTTTGTCACAAAAAAATTCTTCGCAGAATTTTAAATATTTTCAATTAAATTTTAATAAAATTTCTCCTAAGAATTTCTTTAATAGGAATAAATTCGCAAAAATTCAACTCTTTACAATTGAATTTTAATAAAATTTTTCAAAATAATTCGGATATTATCAAAAATTCTAATTAAGTTCTTTTCTAGAATTTAATTACTTTTAAACTTCAAATTCTCTTTTTTTGACAAATATTTCGTTGAAAAAATTACTGCGATCCCTGAAATATTAATACAAAAAAATGAAAAGTATTTTTTCAATTAATTAGAATTTAGTAGAAAAATTTATTAATAAATAAATAAACAAAAAAGGAACTAAATAATGTAAGCAACAATTCAAAAAATTACATACGTAAATGTAATAAAAAATAAATAAAATAAAAAAAAATCAGATTGGTAGGACTCGAACTCTTAACATAGTATTACGAGTCGAGGACGCTAACCACGTGACTAAGCCACTCCTAATTATAATATATACTATAATTAAAAATTTTTAAATAGATAAAGTAAAAAAAAGTAAAAATTGTTTTATTAATAATATTAATATTAAACAAATCAAAAGAAAAATTCACAAATGGAAAAAACTAATTTTGGAGAAGAGTCTAAATAAGCCCAGAATCCGATATTGTTTATTTTTTCCCGTTTAATATTCTCATATTTCTATAGATTCGATTTTTTTTTCTCTAGTAAATAAGATTTCTAGTCGTCGAAAGAACTGTTAACGTGCAATCGCTTAGGGCGAGAAAAAGAAGTATATTTTTAGAGAAGTGCGCAAGATAATAATTATTATATTTTATATATAAATATATATTATATTTTGCATCTTGTGACATACACTGCGGCCTTTCGCGTAAAAATTAAGGGGTCACAAGAGAATTAAAATTATATAAGTGAATATTTTTTAAACACTAAAAATGTCCTTATAGTCAACCAACTAGTTTATCATCATATCTGCCCTTTCACAAATTTTTCTCATTATTTATTAGTCTTTTTTTCTTTAGTCCTTTTTAGTTTTTTTCATTGTTAAAATATATAATTTTTATTCATTTCATTTAAAATATAAATTTCTTTTTTGGAGTTGAAACATAAATCGAAATTAATTATAATATTAATTGATTATAAATTAATTAATTGTCATATTTTATTAATTATGATATTAATTAATTATAAATTAATGAAATGTAATATTTTATTAATTATTATAATATTTTTTTTTAGTAGAAAAATTGAGTGCGGTTGGTGGGACTCGAACTCTTGATGTCGTATTGCGAGTCGGGGACGCTAACCACGTGACTAAGCCACTCTTATTACAAAATTAATTAATAATTATAATAATTACTTTAATATTAATATATTAATTTATATTATTTATTATTATTAACATTATTATTATTATTAATGTTAATATTAATATTATTATTGGTAATTATTATTATTTTTTTTTATTAGTAAATTAATATTAATTTAACTCCAAAAAAAAATTTTCTTCTTGTAATATTTATGTAAGTGTATAGGAAATGTTTTTAGAAAAATTTGATATGACGAGTGAAATGAGAAATTTTTGAAGTCGAACCCTGGCGAGAGGCTGTTTTGTAAATACTAACTTTGTAACAAATTTTTTATTTTTTTTTTTTTGATAAAAATAAAGGGCGTGTTATACATATAGCTGCGAATATGCAAAGCATGATGAATAGCTATTCTATTTGTTCTTTCTCGTTAATTAATTAAAATAATTAAATAAAAAAATACTATTTCGAATTTTGTAAATTTTGAAAACAGAAAAAAAATATATTCTCAAAGTTTGAAAATAAAAAAAATTAACATAACGGGGTTTGCACTTATTAAGTAATTGGCTACAATTATTATAATAGCCATAAATATTATTTTATTATGCGAGCGTATAGTCGTAAATAATATTACCATGGCTTTTTACGTTCAAAGTTATTAAATTAAAAGCTATAATAATATCGGGTTAGATTCTTCTTTAACACTTTACCATCGAGTATACATTAATTTTCATCCCTTATTTTCAAATTACATATTTTAGAATATCTATTTCATTTTTTTTCTTTTATACATTTCTGTTCGAGTTGAAATTTTTTCTTTGGGAAAAAAAAATATGAGAAACGTTTTTTAATGTATTTTCTAAAGAGGGGAAAAAATGATTTTTAATAGTATTATAAACGTTGAGGTACTTCAAAAGTACCGAAAAAGAAATGCTATTGTTGATCTCATCTTTCTGGTATCAAACCAAGATTTTTGATGATATTTTTGAAATTTTTTGTTAATATTAGAAATTAAAAATTTTTTAATTAGTAACTGTTGGTAAAAAATTTTTATAGTGACTGTATTTTTTCGAATTTGAGAAAGAAATTTAAGACTGAAATTTTGAAAATACACTGTAGAAAAAAATTGATTGTAATAACCGATTACTTGTATCAAATAAATATTTACTTGAATCAAATAATTTTTATTTAAATCAAAATAAATTGTTGTTGAAAGAATAATTTCAGTATTTGCAGCAAATGAACTTTAATCAACTTAAATAAATTTATTCAAATTAATATTAATATTATAAATAATATTATAATTGTTATTATAATTAATAATAATAACAATAATAATAATAATAATAATAATAATAATAATAATAATAATAATATAAATTTATTTATTCAGTGAAGATTTAATTCATTATTTGTTGTATCAACGAATAAAAATTTTCAACTCTGTGAGGATTCGAACGCATGACGACACGCTCGATCTGATTCACATTTCTTAATGCCTTAACGACCGTGACCAATTCCTAGAATTAATTAATTATATTAATAACAATACATATCTTACACATAAATAATTAATTATTTCTAGTCAAAATAAATAAAATAAATAATAAAAAAGTAATAATAATAAGAAACGGCTTTTTTGTAAGTAGGTTTAGACATTTAAATAAATTTATTCTACTTTTTTTTAATATAAAAATATAAATTATTACTGACTTTTGCTAATTTTATTAATTTGATACAAATTAAATAAAGTAATCGTTTATTTAAATCAAGTCAACCTTTTTTTCAGTGCAAAATTAAAAAAAAGAAAAAATTATTAGAAACTTTAAAAGAAAATAAATAAAATATTAAAAGAAGAAAAATGTAAAAATAATTTTTACTTTTTTTTCTATTAGAAAAAAAGAGAAAAAAATCAAGGTTGGATATCGAGGGATTTTCACATAATGCTAGAATTGCTGTTATAAATATTTGCAATTGTTCATTGCTGTACATCGTCAAAAGATAAAAGGTGCGTCAACTTATTTTTTGTAAATAAAAAAAATCATGCGAATTGATAATCTTTCAATATAAAAAAAAATGAGGAAAAACATTGCCCTCAATATTTATATTGTATATAACGCAATATATAAACAAATACAATAAATATTGCTTAGGGAAAAAAATCTAATAAAACGATTATGTCATCGCAAACCTTTATAATAATGTACAGTATTGTAACAAAAAATACGTTATATATATTTTATATATAACTTTTTTATTACTCGCTTTTACGATAAATATTTGCGCAAAAAAAATGGTTTGTAACATGTTAATTAAAAAAAAAAGAATTAAAAATATACAAATGCACGTACCGCAAAATTAATCTTTATTTATTTATTATACCCTTACCTTTTTTTAATAAATTTTTAATTATTTTTTTAGTTAATAACAAAGACGTTCAAAATAAAACAATTTGCATAATAATTAATTAACATTAAACTACGTTCTTTATGTTTTAGTGAAAAGTAATTAGAAATTAATTTAAAAATAAAATAAAATTCAAAATTCTCGCGCTAATATAAGACAAGTGGCGCCAAAAAATGGGTGTGAGTTTTGGCGCCACTTGTCTCATATTAGCGGATTTTTTGGGAACTAAACTCTACTTTTTAT